CCTGCACCCTGGTATCGCTGACTTATAACACACCAACCTAGCCATTCTGAAGCCTGCTTCCTGTCTTGTCATTGGCAGAAGGATAAGCCTCAAATAAGATCTCCCATTACATCAGGGATTCATAGCATTCCCTTCATAAACCCCATAGCTTTTGAATGAGCAAAAGAACCTAAAAATAATCTATTATTTCCAAAGTAGCAGACAAAGGAGCTATCCTGGAGGGTACTCAGCCTGCACACATCATCCTGCTATAACTTTTGTAGAATATTGTCTACTTGAGGATCTCACATGACATGTTAGGAGGCCTTGATTTGTGTGTAAATTCTACCCCCTTCCTGCCGGTGATATAGCATGGAAGAGCTGACAACATCTCCAACCTTCCCACTCCTTATCTATGTGAACAATACTATAGACTAGGCCTGTTGTGAATATTGAGCCAGCTCAATACCTTCCGGAAGTCCCCTGAGAATGATCTGATGTCATTGTCATGACTCTTGTTTATTATCAGTAGAACCATCCTTCTCACTTCTCTATATACTGATCTCATTTATGATGTGTGATATCATATCCTAGAAGAGCATAAAGCAAGATGGGAATTTATTCATTTCCAGATGGGTATCTGATTTCTTAAAGATGATGGAGTCAGTTCTGAGAACATCATTGTATCATACTGTAGGTCTGACCCTAAGTGTCTGTTTAATAGCCAACTTGACATCGTCTAAGGAGGAATTCTCCATGAAGGGTTGCATTAGAAGACTGGCCTGAGGGCATGTCATCAGGAAGTTAGTCTGGTTTTGATTACTGTAATTGATATGGGAAACTTGTGCCCTGGATCTGGTCTTGAACTTACAGAGTAGAGAAGGTGAGCCAAGCCCTAGCATTCATGCCCTAATGCATGCACTAATGAACATACTAATCCAGTGCGCTCTCTCTCTCTCTCTCTCTCCCTCTCTCTCTCTCTGGATATGATGCGGCTTAGCTGTTTCACATTCCAGGCACTTGCCTTCTCTGCAGATTGACTACAACTTGACACTGTGAGCCAAGCAAACCCTTTCTCCCTTGGTTGTTTGTCACAGCACTAGGAAACAATGCTACAAAAAAACCCAAAATAGTAACAACATCAGAGAATCAATGGCAAGGGGAGGGAACTGTTCCAGTCATAGCTGGTGGCCATCTTTCTGCACAAACAGGACTGAGCAAAAGCTAGCACAACAGTAAGATCCCCAGCAAATGATAGTAGCAGCATGTTGAGTGAGCATCACCCAAGCTGCCCTCATGGCTGCATCTGCTTACCTCTGGTCCTTGTGAGCAGTGCCCACTCAGTCCCCAAATGTGGCTCTGGAGTGGTGGGATTGGAACCGACATAGTTTTCTATTCACAGCTCCTACCAACTTCATGACATCTGCCTGTGTGATTCCTAGGACACGGGCTCTTCTTAAAATAAACTTTTGATTATTGGGTTTTCTTTTTATGTCACAGAAGGTTCATATTGGGGTATTTTCATTTTTTATTAGTAGAATCATCTTTAATCATCCCCTCTCCTAGAATGCAACAAAACAAAAACTGCCTGCTGTATTATGTAATTCGGGATCTCACTAGCTCCTCATTGATGAGAAAGACTATTTTCATAGGGACAGAGCATCATGACTCAAGAAAATGATTTCATAGGAATAGAATATTTTTTTAAATAACAAAATGGACCTTTACCCACTTTATGGGTAAACTAGCAGTGCATACTTCTTCCTCTGGAAAGAGGGGATAGCATCAGCCTTTAGAATTCTGAGAGTTTCTTCTTCATTAAAGGAAGTGATGGAAGGATGTTAGTATTTTCCTGACACGCTCTTCTGTGCACCTCACAGGAGGAGTGAAATGACTCTGGTTCCATTTTGAGATAAGAAGAAAGACACCTTCCCAGAGACATGAATTCTGCTTTATTGCCTCTTCCCCCACACGTTAATATATCACAGAACTGCAGTTAGGAGCTTGAACTTCCTTCTAACTGACCACAGTGTTCTAAAACAGACATTCTCTCAGTTGTCCTCCACAGTTTGTTCAGCTGTCTATAATCTATAGCTCAGATTAAAGATTTATAAAATTTACCAAAAGAATTTCTAAAAATTATTCCTACCTATGAAAACTGGTTGAAAGAATATGATTTCTGTTATAGTCTCAGTATTTGAAAGAATAGTGGTTACAATGATACAATACTTAACTTGATTTTTTTGTGATTCATTAAAAAACAACAAATTCTCTAATAGTTGGTAAATTTATTGTTTATTCACTTTGAACTTTTATTTCTGTTGTATTTTCTCAAAGAATTGTAGCTTAGTATAATATTTTTCAAAGCATTTTATTGATTCCCAAACTATATTTCTTTGCAACAAAATGAAGATACAAATTTTAAATTACTTTTTAGTTGTCCTTGGTCTTAAGGCTAATTTCTGGTTTCTGACTTATAGTCCTTAAAACACATAGCAATCTATCATCAAAAATATTTTAAAACAAAGAACCAGAAAGACAAGCATGATATATACTCACTTATAAGCAGATATTAGCCATTTAATATAGATAACCATATTACAATCTAAGACTTAAAGAAGCTAAACAAGGAGGAACCTAGGGAGGATGCTTAATTCTCTTTCAGAATGCCAAACAAGAGAGATACCAGAAGGGGTGGAAGAGAAAGAACAAGGTGGGAGCCTTCCATAGATGTTCTCAGAAAGGCTCCACCCAACAGGAGATCAAAACAGATGGAGAGACTCACAGGAAAACTTTGGGTATAGGGCAGGGGGTCTTATGGAAGAAGTGGGGGATAGAAGGACACAGAGAGAACAGGCGCTCCACAAGGAGACCGACAAAGCCAAAAAATCTGGGCCCAAGGGACCTGCAGAGACTGATGCACCAACCAAGGACCATACATGGAGAGGACCTAAACCCCCTGCTCACATGTAGACCATAGGCAACTCTGTCTCCATGTGGGTTTCCAAGCAAGGCGAGCAGGGGCAGACTCTGACATGAACTCGGTTGCCTGCTCTTTGATCACTTCCCTCTGTTGGTGAGGCCTTTCCAGGCAATAGAGGATCCAGAAAGTCCTGATGAGACTAATAGGCTAGGGTCAAATGAGAAGTGAGGAGGATTCCCTCTTTCAGTGGACTAGGGGAAGAGGAAGGAGGGAAAGAGAGAGGGTGGGAGGGACCAGGAGGAGATGGGGAGGCTACAATAGGGATATAAATCGAATAAATTGTAAAAAATAAAAATTAAAAAAAAAAACTGATAGAAACAAAAGCAGAGGTAGACAAGTCTACAATTCTAGTTTAAGACTGTAACACCATTTGACCATTGAAAGAACAATAGACTATCACCAAAGCTACACAGAACCATGAACCAACAGGATCCAACAGTTGTTTATGGAGAGCCCAAAGGCAGCAACGTACCCAAAGAATATATCCTGACCATGAAATGAATGAACAAATTCCAAAGTACTGAAATCATTTAGGGGTTTCCCCCACCACACGGAATCAAGCTGAAATTTAGTGATGTAAAGATCCCCAAAGAGCTGGAAACTCAACTTAGAATTTTAAGTGAATCGTGAGTCAAAGAGGAGGTTCTAGGGGAATTTTAAAAATACATCAAACACATGAAAATAAATGCATTGAGCCAAAAATAAATGCCATCAGTAAGGGCAGCTCCCTTCTTTTTATAAAAGAATAAAAACATTTTTAATGCTCTATTAACTGACAAGCAGGTTATGAATATTGATTTTTTTATTGAGGACAAAAATCATATGTCACCATTCATCTAGGCATTGGATATTTCACTGCTACGAGCACAGATGGTGTGTCAGCCAGACATGCTCCACTGTCTTCAGTGTACTGTAGCAATAAACTTGTGAAGCTACTGTGAAGCTCCTGTGCAATAAACTTAAGAACAGCAAGAAAGGCCGCTTTTTCTGTGAATTGGGAGTACATAATTGCTATTATTTGGTTGCTCAATGCCCCACAAAGGCCTGTGCATGAAATAATTAGTTCCCATGGTGGCTGTTTGAGGAGATAGTGGGTAGGGGATTGGGGCCCTATGAGTGGTTCTTAAAATATTGGGGGGGGGAATGTGTCTTTCAGGGGATTGTGGGATCCTGAGTCTCTCAGTATTTGTGTTGTGGACATGAGCCAGCAGTTCACTCTTCCTCAAGCTCCTCACTATTGCTCTATGGCACCCTACTTGACGCCTGACAATAACGGGTCGGTCCAATCGCAAGTTGCAATTTCTAAAACAATAAGCCGCCTAAATCCTATATTCTATTTAAGTTAATTATCTCAAGTTTTTGCTATCAGAACAGAAAGGTAACTAGGTCATTTCAAAAACAATAGATTTTAAGTAAATGTATCTGTAAAGGTTGTGAAATTTATTATTTTTCTTAAAACTATCCACACCTACGTATCTTTTAGAGGGTTTTTGCATCTCTCTGGGTGTATGTATGATCATATTAGAACATGTAAAGCAATATTGATTTCACGATCTGAGTCACTGAACCGTTGCCATAGAGAAAGCAGTGGTGAGGATGGGAGAGATGGGGAGAGTGGCAGGGTGGGGAGTGCAGAGTGCAGAACAGACATGGGGGAGCCTTCAAAGGAACTACTTTGATGTTCCTTATAATAAAGAAACAATGATATCAAAAAGCACAAATGAGTATTGAACACAATGATTGCCTAGCTCAGTAATGCTGGAACTGCAAGTCCACACCAGGTCTCCCTTTTCTTTCCTGGGTATCCTGGGCTTCATAACCACTCTTTTTTCAGTTTTAAAAATGGTTTCTACTTTCCCATGCCAGGGCACAGGGACCAGTGGGGATTGTGCTTTCTGTTTTAGGTCCAAGAGATCTGGGTGATAACACATGATTGCCCTTCACCGACCTTAGAGGCGCAGGTCACTCCAAAGCCCTTCAGGCCCCAGCCAAAGAAGTTATAAGGGAGAGAAATTGTTTCATAAAGACAACAACTTACAATGAGCGGGCCCCGGTTGTTTTCGCGGTACTTGTTCTGGAAGAAAATGTACACGACGGTGGCGGCCAGAGAGTAGAGGAAGGCGAACACAGCCACGGTGACGAAGAACTCTGCTGAGGACGAGGAGTCACCAACCAGCGCCAGCTTCTGCCGCTCCTTGCCCTCACACGTGGGCACTTCAAAGGTCACCTGGTGCAACCTAAAACCACCAGAGGCAAGAAGACACTTGACTTTGTAGGAGAAGTTGCAACCTGCTAACATCTGCTAATGCTAATTTAGATACGGTTGGGAGTTCCGCGACACATCCACTAGAGAATTTGTTAGCGAATTTACAGGCTCTAGCGTGACCTGTGGAAATAAATGCTGCGGAGGTGGTAATTCATCCCGAGGAGGTGAGAAGTGGAAAGAGAATCTGAAATGAGCTGAGTCTCCGCTGAGACTCTAGGCTTTCTCTCTTTAAAGTGGCCCAGGAGCTTTGGGTCCTGAGCCCTGCCTGTGCCTCCAGCCTCTTTTCTCAGTGTGTAAAGACTCGTCCTTCCACTTCACGCATAGCCTGCTTAACTGACTCAGTTCTACCAAGCAGGGTATATAACCTGTCTGAGAACCTTCCGTTGACACTTCTGCCTACTCTTGCCCAATCCAAGCACCATATCCTCCCCAGGAAACCTCCCGATAACTATTCATCACAAGTGGTTTCTTTCCTTTCATTGTATTTCTTCTTCTTTCTTACGTCTTTGAAATTAAAATATAACCACAGCATTTCTTCCAACAATTTTAATCTCCTCATGCTGCTTTGTAACATTTGCGGTGTTCCTCACTAGTTGAAGCTTGTTTGTTTTTCCTGTCTGCATTGCTTTCTCAGTAGTGAGCACCAATCTCTGCTATAGTATGGGGTTTGGTTTTCCTCTTTTCAATGTACCAGGAAGCTGGCTTTTATCAGGCACTTTGTACTTGAGCAAATGAATGAACAGTCTTCGTTCTTCCAGCTCCTCATTTGACTGACATTTTAGAGTGTTTACGTTGTGAGTTCCCCCAGGACAACACACATAGTCCATGATGGAAACAAATGAAATCCTTATTCTTCTCAACCATAGACACCCAGGGAAGACATATTACACAACACATTACATGCATGTGAGAAGAACCAAGTGGTGACTGTAATTTGGTAAAGGAACCAAGATTCTTCAGAAATTACTATTATGGAGACACTTCGAAATCTACATTAATGAATCTTGTTAGGGTCATTGAAGTCTCACTTGGGAAATTGCCTGTAGAAGCAACAGTGTTCATACAGCTGTTCCTAACTCATACTAAGGGAGTATTTTTTCTTACTAAGCCAAATGTAAATAACCTTTTTCAAAGTATTCATTGTATTCACATGTTGCTAGTTTATACAGTAACACTAATCATGAAATGATACGAATAGGAACTGAGCTACCGTGATAAACTCTTTCCCTTCTGTTAAATTCTGTTTTGAACACATTATTTAACTCACTGTCCACAGCAAACTCTACAATGTGGGTTCTTTGTTGCCTTTCACCATTTATTGATAAAGAAATGAAGGCTTAGAAGGATCACATCCTTTGTTTTAAGACATCCAGTTAACATTGGTGGGCCAGGGGTTCAAATTTATGTCTGACTCCAGAGTCTTTTAAAATGTCTATGTTGACTTGTTTATGCTAACTAATCAAGACATTAACTAGGATAAATGCTTTCAAAATGAATCCCGCTGGCCCCTGGCATTACGTGTACAGCAAACATGCTGAAACCTCTAGAAGGGAAGCCACACTGATAGCAGAAAGAGGAAAGTTTGGTTCCCTTAAGCTCTCCATTTCACAAAGACAATTTTTTTTTTTTTAATTCTTGGCTTAGGAAGCAGTTTGCATTTCCCACTTGACTTTGCGGAAGGACTTCTTCCTTAACAAACAGCCAGGTTAAGTTGTAATCTAACACAAGCTTTGGGAACAGTCGTTCAGGTGGTTGTGTCAGACTTTCTTCAGTAACCCGTTCTGTGGGAATGTAGGGAAAATGAACTAGACTGAAAGAGCGATCATATTTATTCTGAAGCAGACAATCTCATATTGTACTTTGCCTTTCTTCACTGCTTTGACCTGTCATTCATTGAACATGCGTTTGGTAAGCAACTCTATTTCACACAATGAGTGGATGCTGGGCAAGGAATGGGAATCAAGGGATGGGGTGGTTTGTTCTCAGGCTGAAGCTCAGTGTTAGTAAGGAAGGTGAACACTAAGGGGAATCCTAGCCTATCGTAGGCATTGCGTAGTCAAGGAAAGTTTCCCTCTGGAATTTAACTTTGAGCAACAGCTGAAGAAATGACCAGAAATTGTCCAGATCAAAAGCTAAGAAAAAAGAGAGAGAGAGAGAGAGAGAGAGAGTTCCTACTTTCTACTTCATTTCCATGCAGCTGCTTATGAAAAGACTTTGAGAACAGCAAATGCTGACAAGGTGTAGAGAAACTGACAGTTACATTCATCACTGGTGGGAGTGAAGACTGGATCCGCCACTTTCAAACACTGTGGCAGTTCTTCAACTGGTGAAACGCTGAGTGCTTACTGTGGGTCCCAGCAACTCTACTCCTAAGAATGTATGCAAGAGGAATCAAACATAGTTCCTATGTTCACAGAGGAACTAGCCTAAGAATACTCATGCAGCGTTTTTCTTAATGGGAAAAAATGGAAACAACCCAAATGTCCATAAACTTATAAATGAATAAAGCATCGTGTAGAATGGACTATTTCTCACAAATAAAAGTAATAAAATTCTTATATTTGATATACCTTTGAGAAACCTTAAAAGCATGTTGCTAAATGAAAGAAGTCATGTGTAAAAAGGCAAATACAGAGTAGTTTCATTTATACAAACTACTCAGAATAAGCAAGTCCATGGAGCCAAAACCTAGCTTAGTTCCTCACTGTAGGTGGCCATGGGAGAATCTGGCATGGTGGTTAAGTGTCTCAAGATTTGTTTGGGGGGTTGTAAAAGAGCTCTAGAATCAATCGTTGTAATGGACACACACCATCCAGCCATGAAGATACTAACATTACATTAACACACTGTACATTTTAAATAGTGAATTAGGGGCCTGGAAGGATGGCTCAGCAGTTAATAACACTTGCTTTTTTTTTTTTTTAAAGAAGATTCAGGTTTGATTCACAGCACCCATATAGCAGCCTACAGCTCTAGGTAATCCTAATTCTAGGGTACACAATTCCCACTTCTGGTCTCTGAGGGCACCAGACATGCGTGTGTTACACAAACTTACATGGAGGCAAAACACAAAAATAGATTAATAAAATAAAGATAGTAATAAAATGGCGAATCTCCTGGTAAGTGACTTAAAATTTTAATTGAGATGAGCATGTGTCAAATTCACGTAGGCAAACACATTGGGGGAATGCAGTATGTGTGGGGAATCCAGTATGGGTGAGCAATGCAGTGTGTGCATGGTGCACAGTGTGTGGGAGCAATGCAGTGTGTGTGGGGGGGAATGCAGTGTGGGTGAGCAATGCAGTATGCGTCATACAGTGTAGAGAAGGAATGCAGTGTGTGGGAGATGCAGCGTGTGGGAGATGCAGCGTGTGGGAGATGCAGCGTGTGGGAGATGCAGCGTGTGGGAGATGCAGTGTGGGAAATGCAGTGTGGGGGGAATGTAGTGTGTGTGTGTGTGTGTGTGTGTGTGTGTGTGTGTGTGTGTGTGTGTGTGAAGAATGCAGTATGTGGGAGGAGCAGTGGGGGGAATGCAGTGTGTGGGGAATGCAGTGTGGGGAAGGAAAACCGTCAGATGGTGAGAAAGGAGATGGATGGTGCAAAAAGAGAAAGAGAAGCATCCAGAAACCTCCGCTGGGGGTGAGGTGGGAGTTGTGAGAATCGTGTTATAGATATTCGCAACATTTTCTTAATATAAACAGCATGTACAACAAACCCAAACCACAATGAAAGCAAAACTCATGTTCTCTGCTGAAACTATTTGGATATATGCCAAGATCCGAGTGCCTACACCAAGCCAGTTCCTGAAGTACAGCACTTGGAGCCTGTCAGCCGAGGACAGAGGCTTTGGAGAAGGAGATGACAGAGTCACCACTGTTTTCTTCACCATCTGTTGAACAACATTATCTCCACTGCTGATTCGTTCAGTTAACTTAAAGGGATTGTTAACTATGCTCGTCTGTATAAAGAAATAAAAGCAAAATTTAAACTCTACTATGCCTATTAATGTCAATGATATATAGTGGAGCGTTTGCCTCATCAGCCATTCGCTGATGTGAAATCAGAAGAAAGGGAAAAGGAAGCGGAGTTCTAAATGAGTACTTGACCTGAAGAAAGTAGTGAAGATAATTTATGAAGGATAATGTCAGCTCAGAGTTGTTACAGCATAATAATTCACCCATGCATTTGAATGTTGCATGATCATTGTTCTGGTTAGGTTTTTATCAACTTGACACAAGCTAGAGTCATCTGGAAAGAGGAACCTCAACTAAGAAAATGCCTCCCCCTGATTGGCCTATAGGCAATTCTGTAGAGCATTTTCTTGGTCGATGCTTGATGTGGGAGGGCTCAGCCCACTGGGGGTGGTGCCACCCTGGGGCGGATTGAGCAAGCCATAGGAAGCAAGCTGGTAGCAGTGTCTGGCAATGTTTTTTTTGTTTTTGTTTTCTGGTTCCTGCCACAAGGCTCTCTTGTGTTCCCTGCCACAAGTTCTTTCCCTGAATTCGAGAATTGTTGAGATGAAATAAATCTTTTCCTGCTCAAGTTGATTTTGGTCATGCTGTTTCGTAATCACATCAATAGACTCCTAACTAAGACTATGTGTACAAGGCTGCACACAGCGACTCCCCACCCCCACGTATACACAGAACCCTTTAGGCAATATGTACCTGCCTCTCTGTGTGTGTTGTTGCAGAAGAGAGGTTAGCGTCAGCATATATTTTGTAGCTGCAATAATTTTACGAGCAAACATCGTTAATTTAGAGGCTAAACAAGTGACAAAGGCTGTTCCCCCAGAGATAGAGCATGCCTGCTGAGAGTCTGGTCCAACTCTGATCTTGTGAAGGAGTCAGGAAGCAATTGCTGAGGTTGCAAAAGGCACCAAATTCAATTTGTTGATTTCAAATGTACAATCCCCTCATTCCCTTCTTGGTTGACCTGACCCAATGAAGGGGTAATTGAGTTTTTCTGGGT